TTGGACAACCCAACACTTGGACAACCCAACATTTGGACAACCCAACATTTGGACAACCCGATGCTTGGACAACCCAACACTTGGGATATCCATAACCCAGGATATCTGTAAACCAGGATCCCAGTCGCTTGGTGTACCTATAAACCTGACTACCCATCACTTGGGTACCCATAGCTTCGGGTACCCACCACTTGGACTACCCATCATCCATGGGTCCCATCACCCAAGGCTCCCAGCACCGGCTGTGACCAGGACGCAGCACACTGGGGGCAGGACAGCCACCCCCACCGCAGCAGCCCAGCTGTGGGCTCACCCTGCCGTGCCGTGTACTCGTTGTCCTCGATGAGGCGGGCGAGGCCGAAGTCGGCAATCTTGCACACCAGGTTGTCGCCCACCAGGATGTTGGCAGCACGCAGGTCCCGGTGGATGTAGTTCATCCGCTCAATGTAAGCCATGCCCGCGGCGATCTGCGGGTGGGGAAGCCGTGAGGACCCCCCCCCCTGCACTGGGTGCAGCCCCTATGGCTCACCCCAAACCAATACCTGTGCAGCCATGTCCACCAGCTGGGGCAGCTTCAAGTAGCGACCGTCCCCGTCCTTTAGGAAGTCCAGCAAGCTGCCTGTGGGCAGAGGGTGGCGCTGGGAGTGCTGTGCCCCCCCTGGGGATGCCCACCCCCATAGGGACGCAGCCCTTGGACCAGGTCCCTGCACACCTCAGCCATGCTGGGTGATGCCCATGGGAGAGCAGCTCTGCGGGTGCTGTCGTCCCTCACCTTGGCTCATGAACTCGGTGACGATGTAGATGGGTTCCTCTGACACCACGGCGTAGAGCTGCACCAGCTTGTCGTGCCGCAGCCTCTTCATGATCTGAGCTTCCTCCAGGAAGGCCTCGGGGGACATGGTGCCTGGCTTCAGTGTCTTCACTGCCACCTTGGTGGTGCCGTTCCACGTCCCTGAGTTGGGGACACGGGGTCACCTGGAGCCTTGGGGACAGCCGGCCCTGATGGGGCCAGGAGGGAGGGGTGCAAGGGTGCAGCAGTGCATGGGTGCATGGATGGATGGATGGAGGGATGGATGGGTGCATGGGTGCATGGATGGGTGGAGGGATGGATGGGTGCATGGGTGCATGGATGGGTGGAGGGATGGATGGGTGCATGGGCGCATGGATGGGTGGAGGGACGACTTGAGGGCATCAGGGCAGGGCAAGAAGGGTCCGTGATATCATCATACCCAACCCAGGGCAAGGAGTCTTCCTCACTTCCACACAGGGCACCCACGGGCTCAGCTAACAGCAGCCTTACCCCATTCCCATCCATCCACACCGCAGTGATGCCGGGGTCTCCCCTATGATGGGCACCTGCCGTGGCACCGGGCTCTGCCTGCCCCCAGCCCCCCCTTACCCATCCACACGTCTCCAAAACATCCCATGCCGAGCTTCTTGTCCAGGCTGATGGACTCCCGCTCTATCTCCCAGGCGTCCTTAGCTAATCCCAGGGTCTGAGGCTTCATAGCGGGGCACGCTCGGGTTAGCTGATGGCACAACCCATCGTTGCACTCTGCAGGGGCGCAGGGAGGGGGGCGGGGGGGGGGAAGGGAGGCAGGGGATGGCATGGGATGAAGGCAGCATGCACAGCGAGGGGGGGAACGCGGGCCCTACCCATCCACACTTCCCCGAACTGCCCGTTGCCCAGCTTCTGCAGCAGCTGCAGGGACTCGCGGGGGATCTCCCACACGTCTTTGGTTTTGACCGACAGGTCGGCCAGCTTTGGGGTCCCTTTGGGGCACGGCACGGCCAGGCGGCAGCACAGCCCGGCCGCCCGCTCTGCGCACCGAGGGGGCAGGCATCAGCAAGGAGGGGGGGGATCCGTGCCATCGCCCCCCACCCCCGTAGAGCTGCACTCACCCCTGTGACGTGCGTGGGATGCTCCCCCCATAGGGCCAGCCCTGCATCCCTACCAACCCCACCGACACCCACCCAGACCTGGGGGCCATTTACCTGCTCCAGAGAGGTTGGGTGCTCCTTCCCAACAGAGCACTGCGCACACCTGGGGGTCCCCCTCCTTCTCCAGTTACACCCAGTTAGCCAACCAGCTGGGGGTCCCATCACCCCTTCTTCCCCCCCACCCCTCCCCACCTACATATACCTATGTAGTGCTGCACCAGCTGCTGGATGGTGTCAAACTGTGCCCGGGTGGTGATGTAGTAACCCCCACTGTCCAGCTTACGGATCTTATAGTGCTTCACGTGGTCACCCTTGGCCTCATCCCAGTCCCGGATGGAGAGGGAGTAGGCGCCTACATAGGGCAGAAGTCAGGAGTGGGGACAGGGGGGACGCAGGCCCGGCCCCATTGCTGTCCCCATACCTTTTGTTGTCTCGCTCTCACGGATGAGGAAGGTGCCCCTGCAGTTGCCATGGCACAGGAGCTGCCGCTCCGCATCCTTGCGCCCGATCTTTCCAAAGTACCACCTGCCAGGGGCTGCTGTCACCCAAGGGTGCTTCTGGTCCCCTTACCAGCACCGCAGCCCCACGTTGCCATCACTGCAGCACTGCCAGGGGTGCCCACCCCCCCGCCCCAAATACTCACTCCTCTGCCTGGATGGAGTCCACGGGGGCCACGTAGTTGCTGGGGATGTAACCCGTGGCACCTGAGCTCAGCGACCGTGCCTCCCACCAGTCACCCTCGCTGGGACAGAGGGACGGACAGTGAGGAGGAGGGATGGACAGACGGACCTGCCTGCCCTGCACATCCCTTCCCCACACACAGCACCACAACCCCCCCCCCAGCCCTGGTCTGCTGAGACCGGCCAGCTCGTGACACGCGTCGGGAGCTCACGTGTTGTTGATGATGTGGAATTTCTCCCCTTTCTGGAAGCTCAGATCATCCTCCGTCCTGGCCTCGTAGTCATACAGGGCAATGAAGAGCGTCACACCCCCACCTATGGGACACAATGGGGGGTAGAGGGGACACGGCTGAGCCCACCCCACCCGGCACCCATGGGTGCAGCCCACCCCCATCGCCAACACGCGCCCCACTGACCCGTGATGCTGCTGTGTGCCTGCAGCGTGTTGCAGGGGTAGAAGCTCGGCCCTGAGAAGGGTGCAGGGGAGGGCACGGCTGCAGCGTGGAAGTTGTTGAAGTCAGGGATGTGGGTGAAGGCACCGCTGAGCTGCGTGGGGTCGGGGTCGTACTGGGAGGGCGGGTGAGCGGGGGTCACCGTGCTGCTCCCCCCCTGCCCCTTGCCGGACATCTTCTCCTTGCAGTGCACACAGCCCATCCTGGCACGGCCTGTGGGACAGATGGACACAGCGCTGTGCCACCCCCCAAGACCCCCAGCCCCTGCCCAGCCCTGGTGGGGGGCTTTGTGTCCCCCCAGCACCCACTGGTGCTGCCACCTATGGTGTCTCCACTCACTGTGACAGCTCCTCGGGTCACTTCAGCTGCTCCATGTCAGCTCGGGGAAGAGAGGCACCTGCAGGCATTGGGAGAGTCGTCAGGTGGGGGGCAGAGCCCTGTGTGGGGGCTGCAATACCCCTACATGGGGCTGCAATGCCCCTGCATAGCCTAACCCAACCCTGCATGGCTGAAATACCCCCATGCTGGCTGCAATATCTGTGCAGCACCACTGCATGGGCTGCAACAACACCGCGTGGGCTGCAACACTCTGCACGGACTTCCATGCCCCTCCATGAGCTGCAACAACCCTCCACAGCCTAAAACACTTCTGCGTGGGTTAACAGAACCCGACACAGGCTAAAAAACCTCACGTGGGCTGCAATACCCCCACAAGGGCTCTGCTGCATCTCCAGGAGCCCTGCACAGGATGCAATCCTCCTGCAAAGGCTGCAAGGTCTCTGCAACAGCCCTGCAGGAGCTGAAGCACTTCTGCGTGCGCTGAAACCACATCCCGTCGTGTCCCCAGCGAACCGACCAGCTCTGTCCGAGCAGAGGGGCCGCAGGGAGCAGGGCAGGGTGACACAGAGCCCCCAGCTTTGTCCCCAGAGCTGCCACGGGTCGGGTGGCTGCGGGAGGAAGGGCTCCCTGTGGTTGTGGCCGTGCTTCTCCATCCGGAGCCGCGCAGCATCTGTGAGGAGGAGGAGGGCTCCTGGTGGGGACAGCTGTGTCCCCAGCACTGGCACCACCTCCTCCGGGTGCACAGGGTTGGGGTTGGGGGCTCACAGCCTGCAGCACAGCAGTGCCATGGTGGGATGGGGGCTGTGGTCCTGCTGCAGGGGTGGGAGAGCCTGGAGCGGTGGTGGTGGAGAGCGGGGTTCCCCCATCACAGTATCTGATTCTCCCTTCCCTCTCTTGGCAGAAGGGTTTCAGAACACCAAGCAGAAGCAGAGCTGGCTCTCCTCATCCACTTCCTAAACCTAAACGGGGGCTGCTGCTGACGGGGCAGCGTTGCCAAACCCAAAGTGCTTGGCTGCTCTTTGGGGCTTCCTCCTGCAGACACGGGGTCAACGTTTCGACTGACAAACCCCCACCATGGGAAGCCCCCTCCCCTTCACAGCAGCTTCCCATTTCACTCCACGTCTGCACCAAACTGACAGATTCCAGGGTCAGCGGAGGCAAAAGACAAACTTGCAGGAAAGCACCAACCCCCCCAAATCCCCGCACTCGCAGGGCTGCCCCGCAGCATCACACCCTCCCCAAAGCTCAGCCCCCCAAACAGCTCCCTGCTCCCATCCTTGGGGAGGGGATGCTCTCATCCCTGTGCCCCACAGCCACGTGTTGGCACCTGGCCCTGCAGCAGATGGCCACCGAGCCCTTCCTGGCAGCCCCACCTGCCCCAGTGCCATCGTGCTGCCAGCGCCGTGCCCTCCATCACCCCCAGCACCACGGGTCAGCATCGTCACCACTTCCCATCCATCTGCTCCGATTTCCAGGGCCTGATGGCACGGGGAGCTTCTGGGGTTGGATGGCTGCCGTCCCAAAGCTGCTCAGCCACACGGCCGCCAGCAGCGGGGGCGCACATGGGGTGCAGGGCCAGCCTCAGCCCCATGGTTTGATCACAGAATTGTGGGATCGTGGCACATCCTGAACAGGGGGGACCCACAGCGGGGTCACCCTGCATGTCACCCCATTGGCCTTGGGGACACCATGCAGGGTTCAGCCATGACCACAGGCTGCACTGGGAGAAGGAATGGAGCCAAAGGTGCACAGCGTGGTGGCCTCAGCTCCTGGGAACGTGTGGGCAGCAGCAGGAGGAACCACATCAGCCCCACAAGCACCTCCACCGGGGCAGGAGGAAGAGGCCAGCGAGTGCAGCAATGAGGAGGAGGAGGGGAGGAAGGGGAAGGAGCTGCAGCCTCTAAAGGAACCTCCTGGCCGGCACGGGCCCAGGCTTTGGGTTGGGAAATAGAGCAGGGATCCCAGCAGGGCTGAGCGGCAGCCCCCCAAGCTGCACGCTACCTCCATACCCCACACTCTCACGTCCTCCTGCATGGCCCTACAACCCAGAGGTGCTGGGCACCGTGATGCAGCCCAGCCTGGAGAAGAGGAACCAACCCTGCAGCACACAGCACCCACAGGGCCGGATTCACAGCTCCCGGACCCAATCCCAGCTGTGGGACCAGCACAGAGGGGCAGGTGGATGTGAAGAAGGGGAGGGGACGAGAGGATGTGGGGACAGCAGCAGAGATGGTGGGGTGGGATGCAGCCAGGATGCAACAGCACGAGAGCATCGCCCAAGAGCAGCCATCCCAGCAGGGTGGTGGCAACAGGGACGTGGTGGTGCCTCAATGGGGACATGGGGACAGTCCAGTGGGAATTTGGTGGGGCACAATGGGGACACAGTTGGATGCAATGCATTCCACCCAAGAAGTCCCTTCCCCTGCCCGTGCCTTTGTGAGGGCTGTGGAGGCTGCTGACCCCCATTCACCCAGTGCTCTCCCCAGGTAGCAGTGGGGCATTGCATCGCCCCCCCACAGATACCCCGGGGCAGAAGGCAATGAGACGAATCACCCCAAAGCCTTTGGCCCTGAGCAGACCCACCTGCTCTGCCCCATAGCTGGGGGTGCCCCTCGCCCCCCTCCCCAGAAGTGATGCCCGTCTCACAGCTGTGCCCCCACCTCCCAGCCCCACCGCTGGCAATGAGGGCAGGATTTCCGCTGGAAGAAGAGCAATTCCCGGATCCGAGGGGGCTGCAGAGGAGGGGGGAAGGCCCTGCCAGAGCTGCGAATACAATGTCCCGGGAGGAGCAGGGCGGGGAGGGAATTGTGCGGGCAGGAAGCGGCCAGTTCCTGCCCGGGACACACCGCGGGATGGGGGGCGCAGGGGAGGGGGGGGGGGGGGCCCCCCCCCGGTGGGGGGGCGGGGCACCCCCCGCCCCCCCCCCGGTATATGGGGGGGGGGGGCTCCGCCCGCCGGGCTCGGGGCGGGGGGGGGGGGCCCCCCCAAATGGGGGGGGGGCCTCCCCATGCCCCCTCCTGTGCACGTTTGTCCCCGCGGCCGATCACTGCGGATGGGTGAGCTGGCACTGACCGCCCCTCCCCGCAGGCAGCAGAAGTCGGGGGTCTCCTGCTCCCCCCCACACACACACCTCCATCCTCACCGCAGGACTGCGGGAGCACTGACCCCCCCTGGAACACACACACACACACCCCCAATGGCAACACAGCCCCCATCCCTCATCGGCTGGGTGGGGGGCAGCTCACAGCCTCCCCTTAAAACACACAACCAGAGGATACAGACCCCCCCCATTCCCATAACACAAGAGGCGGCCGTGCCCCCCCACCTGCCCTCCCCTCACCCCACGCTCCCTTCTTACCTTCAGCCCTCTTCGCATGGAGCCCCCGGAGCTGCACCCCCCCCCCCCCCCCCCCCTCCACCGGGGCCGGGCACAGCGCTGCGGGGCACAGTGCGGGGAGAGGCGGAGCGGTGCGTGCGGTTCCCCCCGTGCCTCTGAGCGGCTCTATCCGCCGCGCTGAGCTTCCCCTCCCCTCCTCTCCCCTCCCCTCCCCTCCCCCCCCCCCCCCCCCCCCCCCCCCCCTTCTCCGAGATGATGCTTCGTTATAACAGCGCAGCGCCGGTCCGGGGGGACGTGGGGTGGTGGCACCGGGCTGTCCCGTGCTACTCGGGGTCTGTTTAATGCTTATAGGGGTTCTGGTAGGAAGGTCGCCCTCCCGCTCCCATCCCAAAGGAGGCGTGCGTAGGATCGGGGGGGCTGCGACCCTCTGGGACAGCATGGGGACAGCGGGGCCACGGGCTGGGGTAAAAAGTCCCCTGCGGGTGGTGCACCCGACACCGGATCCTTATCTGCGGGATGAAGGTGCCGGTGGGAGGAACTCAACATCCAACAAACCTCGGCTGAGGCCTCCACACCCTGCTGGGACCCCGCGCCCTTCCCGCTGCCCCACTCCCTGCCCAGACCCCCACATCCTATCCAGATCCCTGCACCCCTCCCAGACCCGTCACCCTGCTCTCACCCCTCACCCAGTCCAGGCTCCCCATGAGGGTTCTGAGTTTGGGATCCTCCTTACAGAGGCAACTGTGAGTTTTGGAGATCCGAGCCCTGGAGCAGTGGGGTGGCGGTGGGGCGCACAGCTGACCTGGAGGAAGGCCGCTTGCCAAAAGCATAACCTCCCCAGCTAGAAATAAATAGCCTCTGTGGTTGGAGTGCAGCTCTGACCCCAGGGACAGGACGAGGGGCTGCTGGTATTTTTACCCCCGCCACAGTTTCCTGCCATGGGGCCGTGCTTCCAAGGGGTGATGGTGCATGGGGACGGGATGGAGCTTCAGCCCAGAGCTGCTGCATCCCAGTTGGGCTGCTTTGGAGGATGGAGGCCCTTTGCTGTACCTCCAGAGTCTTCCTCCCCCTTGTCTCCCTCCTTTCCACCCCCACCCCTCCAGTGCAGCTCACGGTGGCCTTTGCAGGGTGGCTGCTTTCCTGTGTGACACCAAGTCCAGCCCCAAAGCTCTTCCTGTTCTCACACTGGGTCACGGGCCCCCACCAGGACGGGGATGTGGCCGCACCACTGCTGTCCTGAGGGGCTCAGCCCCCAGTGGGGACGAGACACCACAGGATGGGGACTGCTCACAATGGTCCCCTTCAGCACCATGAGCTTCCAGGCTGCAGACACACACTGCAGCCCCAGGTGCTCTCCTTAACACTGTGCCCATGAAGGAGCTCTGGTGCAGGATAAATGCAGCCAGCACAGAGGGACGGGGCAGCTCTGGGGGTTCCCAGCAGCATGTGGGGACTTCAGAGCCCTCGGGGGCAGGTAGGTGCACAGGGAGATGAGGGGCTTCTGCACGCTGCTGGAAGAGCATCTCCCACCCCACCTGCAGAATGGTGCCTCAGTTTCCCCTCCTCCAGCCCAATTCCCAAACTGTGGGGTCCAGGATGCCAGCATTTCCCTCTGCCCTGCAGCCCCCACCCCTGCAAGCCACCCCCTAAGAGGGGTCCCAGTGCTCTCTGGTCCCCCAGTTTGTTTTGGCCGTGCCACCCATTCCCAGCCAGCACCCTGCAGCTCTCCCAACACACAGCACCCCGCTGCCAGCCGGTCCCATTCACCACATGATTTCAGTTCTTTCCCTCCCCTGGGGAGGGCCCAGGTTTGGGCTTAAAGCCGAGCTCATCCCAGTGAGGAGCTGTGATGATGGGTGTGCTGGGCTGGCTCGTGGCTGCCGCACTCGGCAGCTCTGTGCAGGGTGAGTCGGTGCCCTTTGGGGACACCCGTGGGTGGGAGCTGGGTCTGGCATCTCCCCATTGCTGGGGGGGGGAGGAGAAAGGGGTTTCCTGCATGCATTGTGGGGTTTCCTAAATTCGAAGCCCTTAACGGAGAAGAGCTGCAGGGTGGCGAAGTGCTTTGGTAAGGGGGAAGTGTGAAAATAGGGCTGCATTGAGGCAGGCTGCTGTAACTCCGGCTGGTTCCCTGTTTTGCAGTGAGGCAGGCAGGTTGCTGCCAGAAGCAAAGGGAGGGGAGAGGGGAGAGTGGAAGGGTCTGTGCCCCTCTGAGAGGGACCGTGCTCCCCAGGTGCTTGGATCAGCTCACAGAGCTGCTGGTTCCATTGCTGCTCCCAGCATCCGCAGCACTGCCTGCCCAGGGCACAGTGGGGAGCCCCAGAGTCTGGGTGCAGCAGCAGCAGAGCCTTAGCAGATCCTGGAGAAGGTGTTGTGAAGGGGAAGGCAGCGGGGCGTGTTGGTGTGGGGTTGCACAAGCCCTAAGCCCCAAGCATGGCTCCAGCAGCCCCACAGACTGCGCTCACCCCACCGCTCTGCCTTGCAGGGCACGGCGATGCGCTCTCCCATCCGCACCCACACTTTGGCTCCGTCTACCACGTGCGAGGTAACGGCCCCACACCAGGACCCACAGCACCCTGCTCTGTGGGGGGAGAGGAGGCTGCTCAGAGCTGAGCCAATATGGGGGTGGTTCACTGCGTGCATTGGTGGGGGGACTGCAGGGATCTGCAGCTGGTTTTGGCTGCAGGACTGCATCCTCTGTGTCCTGTAGTGCATGCGGTGCAGTCAGGGCTTGGGGAGGGATGCTGGGTGCCGGGGCTGAGCTGGATGTCCTGCAGGGGTTATCAGTCTGCCCTATGCTGAAATCGAGGAGCCCTTTGAAGCCTGGTACAACCTGACGGGGAACAAGAGCCGGATCCAGTATTACGGGGGTAAGTGCTCTGGGTGCACCCATCTGTGCCGTGCTGCGCCTGTCCCTGTGCAGAAGGCTGAGGTGGGGTCGCCGTGCCTCAGTTTCCCCTGCCCGGCGCAGGGCAGGTGATCACATACCAGCTGGCTGGGGTGAAGCCCTATGGGATGCGCTACAAGATCACCCCTGAGACCACCGAGAAGGAGGTGAACGTTCGGAAATGCTTCCAGCTGCCTGGATCCAAAGAGGACGTGGTCAAAGCTCAGAGCGTCTTCCCCAGCTTGGATGGCTTCAAGGTGAGGGGTGGGAGGTGCCGGAGCCTGGAGCCGACCGCTGCCTGGAGCGTCCCTGGGGATGGGCGCTGTGCAATGCACCGATCCCTGCAGGGCGCTGGGCAGGCTGCGGCACATCCTGCACCCACGGGCTCAGGGAGGGTCATTTCCCCACCCGCACTGGGGCCGGACGCCCGACTCCTTTCCCAATCCTGAGAAATGCTGGGACGTGCCACAGCCCATGCAAATGCCGGCGTGTTGGGATGGCCTGGGCAAGTCGTTGCATGGCGGCTCTGCTCCTGATGTCCGCAGGCTCTGGGGCAGTACCAACAGCATCCTGTGTGGGGAACGTGAGAGACACAGCTGCTGGATCTGTCCCGGGAGTCTGGCATGGGTGCCCAAGGCAGTGTTGGGTGCCCAAAGTGACTTCAGGTGCCCAAAACAATGATGGGTGCCCAAAGCGAGGATGGCTACCCAAAGAGACGTTGGGTGCCCAGGGAGTCATGAGTTTGGGGTCCACACAGGGTTGGCACCCCAAACACCCATCCTCATCCCTCCAGTTCCTGCGGGAGGAGTATTACCAGGGCCGGTACTGCGCCGTGTGGCAGAACATCACCCGCTGGGAGCAGAAGAAGAACGTCTACACGCTGTGGGTGACCAACTCCAGCTGTGGGGTGGCCCCGGTGCACTACGAGATGCGGGGCTACAACAGCCTGCTGGGCTCCCACTACGACAAGTATGAGATCTCCTACACAGAATTTGACAACAGCTTCCCTCCGTCCATCTTTGACGTCCCAGTGAACGGTGAGCGGGGCTGGGACCCCACCTCAGCGCCGGGGAGAACTTGGGCTGACGGCGTTCCCATCATTGCACCCCAGAGACGAAGAAATGTGGGCTGCTGCCGGGAAGCGTGGCGGAGCACCGAGTGCTGGCAAATCCCATGGAGGATCTGGTGGGGCGGCACCGACCGTGGGCACACGCCGTGTTCCACCACTACCGCCGGCGCTTCGGGCGGCACTACGGCTCAGCACGGGAACTGGAGCACCGGCAGCGCATCTTCGTGCACAACATGAGGTAAACGGGCACAGGGGGACCCACGGGGGAGACCCCCACCCTTCTGGGGACACGGTGGGCTGAGAGGTGCCACCCCGATCCCCAGGTTTGTGCACTCCAAGAACCGTGCCGCGCTCTCCTACTCGCTGGCGCTGAACCACCTGGCTGACCGCACGCCCCAGGAGATGGCTGCAATGCGGGGACGGCGCCGGAGCGGGGACCCCAACCATGGGCTGCCCTTCCCTGCTGAGCACTACGCTGGAATCATCCTGCCTGAGAGCCTGGACTGGAGGATGTACGGTAAGGAGGGACCCAGCCTGGCTGGGAGCATGGAGAGCCCTCACTCCTGCCTCAGTTTCCCTTCACACCCCATCGGTTGTCCTGCTGTCCCCAGGCGCGGTGACCCCCGTGAAGGACCAGGCTGTCTGTGGGTCCTGCTGGAGCTTCGCCACCACGGGCGCCATGGAGGGGGCCCTCTTCCTCAAGGTGGGAGCGGGGACCCAACGCTTTGGGGTGGTCGGAGGGTTCCTGTCCATGTCCCTACACCGTGTCCCCCCACAGACCGGCGTGCTGACCCCGCTGTCCCAACAAGTCCTCATCGACTGCTCCTGGGGCTTTGGGAACTACGCGTGTGATGGGGGTGAGGAGTGGAGAGCCTACGAGTGGATCAAGAAGCA